TTATAGTGAAATGTAAAATCACAGTTTATAGTGAAATGTAAAATCACAGTGTATAGTGAAATGTAAAATCACAGTGTATAGTGAAATGTAAAATCAGTGTATAGTGAAATTTTATAGTGAAATGTAAAATCACAGTGCATAGTGAAATGTAAAATCACAGTGTATAGTGAAATGTAAAATCACAGTGTATAGTGAAATGTAAAATCACAGTTTATAGTGAAATGTAAAATCACAGTGTATAGTGAAATGTAAAATCAGTGTATAGTGAAATGTAAAATCACAGTGTATAGTGAAATGTAAAATCACAGTGTATAGTGAAATGTAAAATCAGTGTATAGTGAAATTTTATAGTGAAATGTAAAATCACAGTGTATAGTGAAATGTAAAATCAGTGTATAGTGAAATGTAAAATCACAGTGTATAGTGAAATGTAAAATCACAGTGTATAGTGAAATGTAAAATCAGTGTATAGTGAAATTTTATAGTGAAATGTAAAATCACAGTGTATAGTGAAATGTAAAATCACAGTGTATAGTGAAATGTAAAATCACAGTGTATAGTGAAATGTAAAATCACAGTGTATAGTGAAATGTAAAATCACAGTGTATAGTGAAATGTAAAATCACAGTTTATTGTGAAATGTAAAATCACAGTTTATAGTGAAATGTAAAATCACAGTGTATAGTGAAATGTAAAATCAGTGTATAGTGAAATGTAAAATCACAGTGTATAGTGAAATGTAGAAGGTTCTCCGAACCCGCCTATTCATATAGTTCATAACCGCCATTACGGCTGGATAATCACTTCTGGTTCTTTTCTCTCCGCACCGAGGACTAGGCCAAAGCTACAGAAAGCGTGGGGTGGTTGGGGGGGGGAGTCTATGTTCGAGATACAGGTGATCACGAACGCACGGACGGACGGACAGACGCACACAGGGCAAAACATAAGTCCCCGTTTTCGGACTGCGTCCGAACGGGGACTAATAAGCTCCACTCGACAAAGTCGACAGCGGAGCTAAAAAACAGGGTTTTCAATGAGTGATTTCACAATGGACAATTAACTGGAGCTATTCAGGATGTTTTTTTTTTCCTTTGTGGGGAGGGCTACACTCATTTTTCTATAAATACATTATAAACTAATAAATTCATCGGAGTGTAGCCAACTTGTTTGGAATCATTGTTTGGGTGGACAAAATTAGAATTGTGTTATTTGACACCGCACACTGGTAATTCAGAAATTGTTTCTGCTTGTTACATGACAATTTGGGTGTGTTGAAAGAAAGAGCAAATCATGAAAAAAGTGTACATTGGTCAGTACTGTACAATTTTAGGCACTATTTCTTGTCAGTTTTTGCTGCCATGCAGATGCATGAAGGCCATAAGGAAGGCCATAAGTGCTTATACATTTTTTCAGGAAATGGAATTCCTATGTACTGAGTGCTGTCATTGGGAGAAGCTACAGGCGGACCATGTATGGTGTAATGGTGATATCAAAAGAGAGGGATGGGATGATGACCC